ACTCAACACACACGCGCACACACACACTCTCTCTCTCTCTCTCCTGTTTTTAACGTTCTTTGTTTTTTCACTATTTACAGGACCTTTCTCTCAAGTGTCAACGCCACCATGCCATCACCTTTTTTTTCAAAAAAAAAAAAAAAAACTGCTACGCATAGGGATGTTTTAAAAATAGGGATCATATCAGAAACCTCCCCTAACGTTTTTCTAAAATGTTACCTAACATCCTTAAAATTTTAAAAAATTATTTACCTCCCTTCCTTTTGTTATTTGTGTAACAAAATTTTGAAAAATACTAGACCACCCTTTTATTTGCTAAATAAAAATACTCCAAATCCACTTTGTTTACTCTAAGAAATCATCATCTAAAAAATAATTTCTAATAATACTACCACGTCAAAGTGTTATAGTCCATAAAAATATAAATTTTAAAAAAATATTTACAAAGAAATATATCAACACCAATTTAACTATATATGTTCAGAATCATTTTCTTATGAGTCTTATATTTTTTTTCAACTTCTTCTCAACCCTGCTCAAACCTTTAAATTGTGTTGATTATCATAAAAATTAACTAAAAATAAACAAAAAATCATACCACTCTCTATCACAATTACAAAAACTAAAAGGCAAACAACATTTAATATACTATGTATAATTTACAAATAAAAACCTCATAGTCATCCAAAAAAAATGAATAAAGGAAAATATTGAAGAAAGGAGAAAATGAAGAAAGTGACTTTTGTTTCTCTTTTTTTTTATTTTTTGAATTCTATTTATTTGATATGTAAATTATATATCAAGTGAAAATTAATGTAATCTTTTTACAATTATTAGGGGTACGTGATTTTTTTAAAACATTAAAGGTGTCAAGTGATATTAATGGAAACGTCAAAGGAGGTTTCTGATATTATCCTTTAAAAATATTTGAAAATGATAGGGGAAGTGCGAAATGACTGCTGGTGAGGAGTGACCGCGAATCCCTCGTCCTGACTCCTGAGCCGTCCATTAGATGTTCTTAAGATTCGTGCCATACCACTTTTTTAATTTGTCCTTGTACACATTTGATCCAATGGCTTGGGTCCGCCTTTTTCCAAAACTTTTCTCCACAAAAAGGCAAATCAAATGGCTCAAAAGGATAATGCCAATTTGACCCTCTAAGGCTCCTAAAAACTTTTTTAAAAAAAGCAGAAGGAGCTCGTGAAAACTTCAATATGACCCCTCTAAGGTGACAAATTTTTGATTTTGGCAAATCTCTTTTCCTCAAGGGTATGCCTGTAATATCCTTAAGGGTCTTAATTCTCAACAGAAGTTAATATTGTGAGATTAGCAGTAATTAAGATGTGGAATGGACTTATCCAGTTCCACCAAGCTAAGATGCACAAACTATAAAGTATCCTTGAATATTTGCTCAGATTATACATACTTTTGACATGAGTAATACAACTCAGCGTTTCGAAAAAAAAGGAAGGGATTAGCAGTAATTTGCAAGTGTCTTTGAAAATAATATATATAATATATTATGAAATTGAGCGTATTCTTTAATTGGTTTCACAAACTTTAAGCCATGGGTGCACTTGCTCATCCTCAATTCCGTAGCCAAAACTCTTGGGGAAACTTTCCAATAATGATGCACTCTTATACAGAAACTTTGACATTCTATGATTTATGCGTGTTTTCATTCTTTTTTTTGGTCATTCATCAATTTTTTATTTTATCTATATCCTACTCTATCCTAATCTATATAGAGAGGCCCAATTAAACCCATGAGAGACAGATGAGAACTAAACCATCACTGGATTAGACTACGCACTCATCTGGATTTCTTGGAAGATATACTTATTGTAATAATTGATGGGAGATAAAGTTTAAAATCTTGACTCACCCGTCACCGGTCCAAAAGCTGTTGGTTTGCGTGTTTTCATTCTTGGAAAGTGATTTTATGAGATAAAATCTAGTCTCATTTAATAACATCATCTTATCTTTAAGAGTCAAAACAAGAAAGACAGTTAATTTGCTCTAATCAACTTATGTTTTTCATTTTTATCATGTAAAAAAAAAGAAAGTAAATTTCATTTTGATTTGCAGTGTCAAAGCATAGTCCTTTAACAATAAAGTGCCAAGCTCGAGGGCGATCGGGCTGAGAGTGTCAAAAATTCGGGTTGTATTCTATCGCTATAGGGTCTGCGGGAGCCTTCAAAAGTTGCCGGCTTTTGAAGGTTTCTCGCAGGTCAACTTTAGTAACGAAAAAGTCTGAGTTTCTCAGTCATCGGAAAAAGACAGAAACCTCGGGGAGGTGATCTCTCCATTTCAGTGGGTGTCTGGGGGTCTTTACTTCTTAGCAGCGGGGCACCCCTGTGGGGTTTCTATCCCACATCGGTTCGGGGGTGGGGGTTTGGGTTTGGGTTTATTAAGGTCTGCGGGAGCCTTCAAAAGTTGCCGGCTTTTGAAGGTTTCTCGCAGGTCAACTTTAGTAACGAAAAAGTCTGAGTTTCTCAGTCATCGGAAAAAGTATTCTATCGCTATAGAAAGCAAGAAGTCAAAGCTAGAAGGGGAATTTGGAAAATGAAAGGCTTTACACCACAAATATATTTTGATGAAGTGTCACACAAACGTGGTTTCCATATGGCAGTTTCCTGTCAGCAAATTCGGGCTGAGCATTGTCCCCCTGCAGGCCATCCAAGAAAGCCCAACACGGTTCGGCTGAAAAGTGAGGAGTGAAAAATGCAACTATGCAAAAGAGTCGACTGTACATTCACCTGAAATTCACGCCAAATTCACCGCGGACTTTCCCACAAACTCCCACGTCACCATCTTTGTTATAACTCCAATTTTGTGCCTCTCACTCCTCAGCTTGTTAACTTCGTACGGCCTGCACTGAGATAGCAAGAAAGCAGAGATTAATGTATAAATAAAAAAAACGCTTCTGCTTCCATTTTGCACTTTCGTCATTTTCTATGCAATCCGAAGTTTTTTGTCTTTTCCAGAACACCTTTTTCTTCTGCTACTATTTAACGTAATCACCGCCAGTTTCAGCGGGAAATTCGCTTGTTTTCAATATAAAGTAAGCGATAATTCCCATTACTTTCCTTCTTCCTCATTTTCTTTTCAACGCGGCTCCGCTGATCGATGGTTTGATTGGCTGCATTTCTGATGCTGTAAGGTAAATCACTTTTGTGTTTCTAGAAAAAGTTTTCTATCGGCTTAATTTTCTTTCGTTTCTCGTAGAGTTGTAGGGTTTTGGATGGATAAGAGTTATTGAGTGGAAATGAATCAAAGTTCTGAGTTTTCTCTGATTTTAGCTCTTGGTTTATTTGATTTAATTGGGTTTTTGATAGAATTAGTAAAATGCCGGAATTTTTGCTCCTTCATTTGTTTTGGGGTTTTGGGTTTAGGCCGGGGGTGGGGGCAAGAAAAACCCTGCTTTGTTTGATACACTTCAGTAGTTGACTAGCTATATTCTTACTCCAGTTTCAGAGATTTTGGCATTTGCTTGTTCTTTGAGGCTCAATTCAGTGGCCCATTGAATCAGCACTAAACTTCTGGGCTAGAGGATAATTTAGGATTTGACGAGGGAGGATATACTTCTTGCGTATTTGTAATCAGAATTTTGATGGCTCAGTTGAATTGTAAGCAACCCATGAATCAGAACTATGGCGCGGGGAGTTCGCACTCCAGGTCTACATCTCAACCTGCATTTTTTGCTAATCATAGCTTGCCCCCATTGAGCCCGTTGCCTCATAGCGAATCCTCATTGGCCTCCAACTCTAGTATCAAGGACGTGTCAATGGATGAAGTGGATGTTAGTTCTCGAGTTCCGCCAGTGGTTGGTGGTCCCTCCGTTACATTTGAGAATAATTTTCGAGGCAATTTTGAGGGTCTTCCGCCTCGAAAAGGCCATAGGCGATCCAGTAGCGATGTTCCCTTGGGGTTCAATGTTATGATTCAGACTTCACCTCAATTGGTACCAATAAGCGGTCAGGGAATATCGGGCAAAACAGCCTTTGGAAGTGATAAAGTTGGAATGGATAAGGCCATTCATTTGCAAAAGCAAGAAATGGATGCAATTAGTGAAGGTAACAGCAATTTCAACAGCATGGGTCAGAGAAGATTGGAGGGAGAGATTGTGAATGACTTGTTTCAATCTTATTTGAAATTGGACAATGCAGATAGTCTAAATCCTTCTAGAACTGATGAGAAAGATAAAAGAAGCATGGTTAGTGGCATGAAGAAATGTGGTGGTGAGAATAGTAATACTGAAGCCCAAAGCATCTCAAAGGCAAATAGTACTAAATTCGATGCGGACAGGTTCAGCAGAAGGAAACAAAAGGAGTGCTACTGGGGATATTGCTCCTGCTGCTCGCCACTTTAGAAGCCTTTCAGTTGATAGTGCCTTTGAAAGTTTGCATTTCAATGAAGTGTCACCAAAGCTACCTAGCGCTGCTGGGATTCATGTCAGTGCAACTCTCACCAAGCAATTTGCGCCAGTGAAAACTCAGCTAAGTTTAGCTTGGACTTTGGAAATGGCTGAATTTAGTGAAGCTGAGGTAAAAAAGATTATGACAGATGAGAGACTTGCTGAAATTGCCTTATCAGATCCAAAACGTGCCAAGAGGATGGTGTGTACTGGATATGAATTGAACTGATGAATTTTTTGAAGTTACATTTGTAGATTGGCATGTCTCATTTACATGGTTGAAATTGTTTATCCAGGGTACTAGCTAATCGTCAGTCAGCTGCTCGTTCTAAGGAGCGCAAGTTGCGATACATCTCAGAATTGCGGAACACAAGGTGCTGACACTGCAAACCGAGGCCACTACACTATCTGCCACAACTTACTGTTCTTCAGGTTTGCACATGAGTTTATGAAATCCAGTACTAAAATCCCAGTCAGCCCTATGGAAATCAATGCTTGGCCACAAATGCTTAGGACTAGTTTTTTTCTTAAGGAGGTAGCCTTGATCCTATGGTAATTGTCTATGTTTTTTTTTTTCTTACAGAAAGATTTTTCTAGCTTACAAATCAAAACAATGAGCTGAAAATTTCGTCTTCAAGCCATGGAGCAACAGGCACGACTTAGAGATGGTATTTTGCACTTCCTCCCTTGATTCTTTGTTGATAGTTTGTCTACATTGTTGATCTACTGGAATCTCTGTATAACCTTTGAATTATGTGTGTTTGTACAGACCCTTTTCGTAAATTTCTTTTGGCGAATAAGAGGGGGGGTGGAGGAGTGATTTGAAATTCGTTTGGATTTATGAATGCAACAATATTATTATGCACAGTCCACTGAGTCCTGATTATTAAAGATGATTTGGTTCTGTTTCTCCATTTGCTGACTTACATTGCACCTCCCTAGTTTGTTGAAAGTCTGTGTCATGATAGTTTTGGAGCTCAGATAAATCTTCCAAATTATTAGTATCTGCAAACCTGTTATCGTAAAAACAAGCTGCAATTCTTTGATAGAAAATTGGCAATACGGTCAATATCAAAAGATTTAGGGCCTAAAACTCTTTATTTTACCAATTCTTGTGTCAGTGTGGACTGTGACGTATGCTTATTTATTTATTTGCGTGTTGGGGCCATTTTGCTGGGTGGGGTAAAGGGAAGGAGGAGGCCTCAGCCGGGGGGGGGGGGGGGAAAGTTATTGTGACTGAATTTTGTATGAGTTTAATTATGGATGTGTGAGACCTAAAAGTAGCAGTTTGACCATTCAAGATAGAATCATGATAAGTTACATGATTGGATTATTTAAGGGCTACTCCTCTCAAACACCTCCTTCCAGCTTGTGGCTTATTGAAGACTAGAATGCGAGACCTCTTTATAAATGCTTGGTTGGTTAATGCTCCTCTTTAGCCTGCTTATATGGCAATTTGTTATGAAGAGTGACTTGGTATGTAATGCGTGCTTTTGCCCTGTTGTTGTGCAGATATGATGAGTTTGCCTGTCTTGTATTATGCAGTTACAAACAACTATTAATAGGCACAAGATATTATTGTACAGATAAATTTTTCCCCCCTTCATTTTAGTCTTGGGTAGAACAATTATTTATGTTGGTATATTTATGGCAGCTCTTCACGAGGCATTGACCGCAGAAGTGCAGCGTCTAAAGCTTGCAGCTGCTGAGCTTGGTGAAGATGATGGGTCATCGACTTCCATGATTCAGCAGCTACCCATGAAGCATCATGTACTCCAGCTGCAGCACCATCAATCCAGTCAAATCCAACAATTATCAGTTGCAACATCCAAAACTGCAACAACAACTTCGGCAACACCTACTTCAGCTTAGTCAGCTGAACGAAAATTCAGCATTCTTGGGCATTTCCTAACGAACCGGAAAACTTTGCCATATAGATAGAGCTCGTAGACTCAGGACGATCTTCCTGTGTTAGAAAAACTGAAACGTTCCGTACAATTTGTGGCTCCTTAACTGCTTGTTGCATACTTTATTTTGGGTTATTTATCCAATGAACCAGTGGCTTTCTTCATTGGATTGCTTTATAAATATTTAGGAATACTTAGACCTGCCGCTCTGTACTGCGGACAGTGGTGCAGCCAGTAGGAAACTCTTCCATCTTGTGGTTGTGGCTCCCCAGAACTTCTTTGTTTGTAAAATAGGTGGTGGATAGGTATACAAAATAGATTTTGAACATTCCAACGTTGTCTTTGTTGATGTACATTTTATATCGTGTTTTAATTGGTGAAGAAACTCATATTCAGGAAAGTTATGTGGAGTTGCCTTTCATCAAATTTTCTGTTAGCAAAGTTAACGTGGGGGGAATTCTGAACTTCAAAAAAGATGGGAAAATCGTTCAAAACGTCCCTCACATTTTACAAAATAACTTTTTTCGTCCTTTACTTTTAAAAATATAATTTTACGTCCTTTACAAATTCACATTGGTCAAATTTGGTCCCTGTTTAGATTTTCAACTAGTTTTTTGTTGGAATTCACCACGTGCCTTGCACGTGATCATATTTTAAGGGCAAAATTGTTAAATCTAATTTTATATAATTCGATTCATAATCCCTCACATTTCATAAAATAAAATTTTTCGTCCCTTATATTTCACAAAATGAATTTTTTCATCATTTATTGATCATGTGTGTGAATAATTTTTTAAAAATTCATGTATATATTTATTTGATTTTACTTGAACAGTACGAATAGCATATGAAATCAAATAGAGATATATTACATACTATTCGTACTGTTCAAGTGAAATCAAATAGATATATATATGGGTTTAAAAAAATTGTTAGTTTTTCACTTATATTCATTTTCTTTTACTCGAAGATTGAAAATAAAGAAGACATTTAATCCTAAATATTATCGACTGTTTATATCGAATTAAATTTGGATAGAAAAAGTAAACAAAAGAAAAGTATGACAAAAAGAAATAAATGACTGGCACTTTCAAATTTTAAGACAATCACAAGGTAAGTAATTCAACTGTTAGTCTTAAAAGTGTCGAATAGAAATTTCATATTTAAACTGAATTTTGTTAACACAATTATAAAATTCGAGTTAGAACCCATTAATTAGATGACCTTATTATACAATTCAATAAATAAATTATTATCAAAAGAAAAATATCACAAATATTGAATAGGTTCAAATGGTGAAATCATATAAATATATACATGGATTTCAAACAAAATCATTATTTTTAAACCCCTATATATATATATATATATATATATATATATATATATATATATATCTATTGAATAGTTTGTATATAACTACAATTAGTATGTTTAGATGAAATATAATAGAGATAAATTACATGTTATTTATACTGTTCAGATAAAATCAAATATATATATATATACGTAGATTTATAGAAAAAAACTATTCGTACACATAATCAATGAGGGATAAAAAAATTCATTTTGAAAAATGTGAGAGATAGAAACGTTCATTTTTTGAAATGTGAGGAACGAAACAATTCATTTTGTAAAATGTTAGGGACGAAAAAATTTATTTTGTGAAGTGTGAGGGACCTATGAATCAAATTATGTAAAAATTTGATTTGACAATTTTACCCTTAAAAATTGATCACATGCAAGTCACGTGGTGGATTCCGATCAAAAACTAGTCGGAAACCTAGGTAGGGACCAAATTTGGTCAATGTGAATTTGTAAGGGATGTAAAATTACACTTTTAAAATTGGGGGACGAAAAAAGTCATCCTGTAAAATGTGAGGGACGTTTTGAACGATTTTCCCAAAAAAGATGGAGAAGAATGCTTGAAAGTTGACATCTTGACACAGAAGGTGAGGTCTATAAACGACTCCGTTTGGATTGGTCATTTTTTCAAAAATAAAATTTTCAAATATAATACTACAGTAATACACAATAATTCAAAAAACATCTCATCTATACAATATATCAAATATTTCAAAAAATTATTATAGTAAAAATTTTTCATATATACTACTACAGTAAAATTTTTCAAAAACACATTAAAAAACAGTTAATTCAAACGAAGCCTAGAAGAACATAAAGTAGATATTGCTACATCTCATCAAGTTATCTTCTATTAATAAACTCTAAACACATCCTTCTTCTATTCAAAATTGAAAATATGTTCCCTCTTTTCTATTCAAAATAATGCAAGCAAAAAACCAAAATCAATATTTTGTTTGGATAGTGGATTATTTGCACAAATTTATTTACTTGTATTATTGACATATTTTTCAATCGCCTTATTATCTTACATGCATCACACAATAAAAAAGTGTTATAGTATTTTTTTCAAAAAATTATCCCAAAAATAAACAACCATCCAAACACACTCAATATTAATATTTTACAAATATAAAGTTAAATAGAAAAAACTTATAATATGAGATAGAATAATAATAATAGTTATATATGTATTCATATGGTAAGTTATGTATAATTTACGTGTTTTCTTATAGGACATCGTTAGAAAAACTCTTTAACATGTTATTAAAATAGTAGTAAAAAAATTGAAAAAAAGGGGGAGAATATAGCCAAAAGAATTGAATGGGAATCAAGTCACTTCATCCTGAAAGTGAAATGTCCAACAGTTCAACCGTACAAGGCATACGGCGGGCTCACAAGGCTTGTTCGAAGATTTGGCCAACAAGTTAAAAAGCAGCCCTCCCCTCCCTCGAGTCCAATTGCCCTTCCGCCCATATATTGCCCCAATGACGAAATTTGCGGGAAGCTTTATGAGGCCGAAACCCTGCAACAAAAACAAACAGGAAATTGATCCGACGGTGACCAGATACAAGTCGGAGACAACCGTCCAGGCCCCTCGTCCATAAAAGTCATACCAAGCCCATAAAAAGTAGTACCGCACTACCATTTATGCCCGGACTGGATTTCGACGCCGAGTGAACAAATGGTACAATTATACTGCTATAAAAGGAAAGAAGAACGACAGATTTTTGAAAAATATTTGTACGCTTAAAGAAGGAAACAGGTGAAGTCACTCACTTGAGCAACAATTCAAGTATATATCCCATCCCATCTACTCATTTTTTTTTTTTTTATCCACCAAATTGTAAAGCTGTATTCTTTAATTAGATTCATTCATTTATTACTCATAAAAGTCGCATTCTCGGAAAACCCACAATCCCTGTCTTCGCAGATATATCTCTTTCACTTTTTTCTTTAATCCAAAAGGAAACAAAAAATATAATAATAATAACAACTCCAACAAACACAAAAAGTGCTTACTCTTGTTGGCATTGTTCGTAGGGTTTCGAATGAGGTTTTCTCTCTGATCTAGGGCTTACTTAAACCCTAACCGCCGATTCCCGTAAACTAGCCGTTGCTCCGTCGATTGCAAGCTCTTTTTGAACCTTCATTCGGCGGCAATCGGGTAATTGCGGTTGGATCTCGGAGTTTCTTTGTTTGCTTTATATATATAAAAAAAAAGTGAAAGGTCTTTTCATACCTAATAGAGTTTTGGTCGTTTAGTTTGCCGGAGATAGATGGCAGCTGTGGAGCCGGAGAAGAAGGTGGAGGAGGAAGAGCAGGCTGTGAAGGGTGGAGAGCTCTTGTTCTGTGGGGCCACTGCTTGGGACGCAGTTGGTCGGCGCAAAGGTTTGGAAGGGAACTTAATTTCTCCGACTCGGCTCCGCCCTCTTATTGGCATTAATATTTCTTTCGTTGCCTCTGGCTGCAGTAAGCTTCTTAGCTTTTTTGTTTTTCTTTTCCTCAGTCGCTGATTTAGCTTCAGTCTTTTCCTTTTATTTTGTGCTAAATATTTTACCTTTGCGTTTATTTACTGCATGTAGCTCTAGTCTGCCATTTTTTGGTATGCTAGTTTCAGTTTTACCTGAATGAAGTGAAAAGAGCTTTGAAATTTATACATCTTCGACGCTAGTGGCTGTAGACTTGTTTGGCTTGTCATTTTTAGGTCAAAAGAAAAATGCAGCTAATATGGCAACAATTCAAGCATGCCTCTTGCTCTAAATGTGTACCAGATCTTTCATAATACTGATATTTTGTTCCCGGGTGTAATGTGTGCCTTTAGCTTCTTGTCACTGTGGCTTTGGATGTTGATGGACGTTGCTACACCTGGGGCCGCAATGAGGTGATTTTTGAGTTTCAGTTCAAAGTTTTTCTCCCAGTAATATTTTTGTGTAGAAGTATCTGTAAAAAATATTATGTGGTTTCTATGTTGTTAAAAATGTGCAGAAGGGGCAGCTTGGTCATGGAGACAAAATTCAGCGTGATAGGCCCACTGTTGTTTCAGGACTCTCCAAGTTAGTGGCGTACTAGCTCATTATAATTCTTTCTTTGGTATTTTCCATCTGAATTCGGTGGTATGAGCTCATGGTTCTTGTACTTTGCTTGAATTGCTTTGGGAATATCTTACTGCAGCCCTTTTTGATACATAATTTAGGGTTTTAGTTTGAACTCTGTTGACCCTCGTTATCTATCCTTTTTTTAATTCTTTACCATCTCCCTCACTAATGGAGACTAATTAAATTGCTAAACTTTTTTACCAGGCATAAAGTCATTACAGCAGGGGCAGGAAGAAGCCACACTGTAGTGGTGACTGAAGATGGTGACTCTCTTTTTTGGTTGGAACAAGCATGGACAGCTGGGTACCGGTTCTGCTAAAAATGGTTTGTGTTCTTCTTTGCTGTGCCTTGTATCAATATTCTGACAGTTGATTAAATTGGTGCTTTTTGTGAACAGTATGCTTGATGCACTGAAATGGATCAATATCAAATTTAGTGATCTAGTCTCACTTATATGTGGTCTTTTATGTGAATGTTGCTCTGGACATGGTAATACAAAGTTGTATGTACCTTACTATAAGGGCTTTGTAACTTGCCTACCTTTGCCTTTGTTGCAGAAGTTGAATTATCGCCTGTCCGATGTCATGTGTCTGATGTTAGTAACACGCTTGTGGGGCTGACTTCACTGTGTGGTTGACTTCTGTTGAAGGAGCATCTATAGTGTATGGTTTGGGAATGTTTTCTCCTTCTGCATGTACTAATGTGGAGCTACTCTTTGATGATTTCATCCGTTGACAAGCTCTGTAATTTTTTCAGAACTGCTGGTCTGCCACAATATGGTCAACTTGGTCATGGAACAGATAATGAGGTATGTGTTAAGTTGCTCTTTAGACATATTTGGATTGTTTCCATACATATCAGAGAGAGAGATTTACACCAAGAGAGAAACAGGTTCTGGCTGTCAAAGCTAGAATCTTCAAAAAGTTGATTTTGTATC